GGAAAGAAGAGCTGGTCAGCTATTCAGGAACAACTCCTGCTGAACTCTTCCATTTCTGGAAGTACAATTTGTATCCAGATAGCAGTTTTCCAGCAGTTTTCGCTAAATATGTGATTCAGCACTAAGCTAAAGAAAGGACCCACAGAAAGGTGTAAAGCTTTGTCTTATTCTAGACAGCAATCTTTGGAGAATTTCCGATATGAACTAAGAGTCATCTAGTTCAATCATTCTCAACCTTTTTCTGGCCACGGGTAGAAATGGGCACAAACCAAACTATGAACCGGGGGAAAAATACAAACCAGACAAAACCCATTTTGCCAAACTGAAATGAATCATATAACTTTTTTCTGCTTGGTGCTTCATTTTGCTTTGGCAAAATGGATGCTCACCTGTCCCCTTTCCACTATCCCCATTGCCTTCCTACCTGGTCCTGCCAATTCCTCTTCCTGCTGTCCCTGAAGATGGCAGTGGTGGAGGGGGGAAAGGAGAAGGAGGAGGCAGGACCAGGTAGGAAGGCCACAAAGGCACCAGGAAGGGGATGGGTGGGTGGTAGAAGAAGCAGAGTCTATAGATTCTCTTCCCACAGGCATAAGGCAGAAAAACGAACTGCGAACCAGTTCATTTTTCCTGGGGTTCAGTGATGGTTCGTGACTATGCACAAACCACAAACGATCACAAACGGTTGGTTGAAAGGCATTCTGATACCATGAGTGACAGACCTGTTCATTTATATTCTGCTCTTGGATGTCTGGTCAGAATTGGTTGCTATGAGAGCATTCTTTGTGTGTCTGTGTTAAATCCTTTATTTTTATTTAATTTTTATTACTGTAGAAATATATGCATAATAGCCCGTTTATACAGTAACAATCCCACAGGATGACATCAAAGGATTATGAATAAGAGGTTCAATTCATCATGATCAAGTGAGTCTTTCCATACATTAGTGTGTGTTGCAGGAGAGGTATCCTCTTCCTTTCAATTTACAAGCTATGTAAATGGGTAACAGGTTTTGTAGAACTGTGTGCCATTACTACTTCCTTATATAACCTCAACTTGAGAAATTCGATTTTCCTTAAGTCCTATATACCAAATTTTGGAATCCTAATAGGAAATAGTATTGTTCACATACTTCCAGGGGGCTGCAATAACCAAGCTGGCAGTAAAGCAGAAAATTCAGACCAGCTGTTTTGTTAATAAATTTGCAACTTCCACTTGAAACAATGTCAACAAACCAAGAGAGGGAGCTAATTGGTTTATTTGTCTTTCCCCTATCTCTAAAAAAAATAATTCCAAAGGTTTTTAACTGTGAGATGCTACCACTACAGGTGTAAATTAAAATTGTCATGCTTCGAACAGACAGCAGCAGATAAACTTCGTAAACTACCAAAAGTTAATTACTTATTGAAAACTGTTCCATTTTATATTGAGCACAAATTTTGTACAGTGGCAAGACATGTTAAATAATTTTTTAAAAACTTGGTCTAATGAGAGCATTCTGACTCAGATCCGTTCCAGGAATTCACATTGGCCTGGAAAATCTCTTACCCTTATTTTCTCTGAGCACTTAATAAACTCTTTCCAGCTAGATAAAGTGCCTAATACTTACATAAAAACATCTCCAAATATGTGGTGGCTTTGGATAGCTCAGTGGTTTAGGCATCTGGCTGCGAAGCCAGAGGTTGGGAGTTCAATCCCCCACTGTGCCTCCTTGAGAGGGGCTGGGCTCAATGATCCATAGGGTCCTTCCTGCTCAGTGGTTCCAAGATACAGTATTATTATTCAACTTGGAAGAGTCAGTTTCAAAACTGGTTATGGATCAGATCCAGTTTAATACTGAATTGAGGCTACAATATAGTGTGTTGTAGCATAGCATTTTTAGAACCCTGTATCTAAGGGGTTATCAAACTTCAGAGGTGAGCACGTTTGTCATGTTTTTCCCGTACCAAAAGCAAAAAAAAGCAAAGTGTGCTGCTTATATACCCCCCCATAGCGCTTCAAGCACTCTCTGGGCGGTTTACAAGTTAATTATGCCAGCTACACATTGCCCCCCCCCCCAGCGAGCTGGGTACTCATTTTACCGACCTCGGATGGATAGAAGGGCGAGTCACCCTTGAGCCGGCTACCTGGGATTTGAACCCCAGGTCGTGAGCACAGTTTTGGCTGCAGTACAGCAGTTTAACCACTGCGCCACGAGGCCAGATTATCAAATCAGTATTGGACTAGAATGTCCTTTGTTTCTGAACATAGCAGTTGTCTAGTAGTTGTTTCTTTGTTAGTCAAATACCAGATGATAAAATTGTAAATATTCCCTTCTGAATGTCTGCTATGACAACCTACTTCTATAACTCTTGTTCAGTTTCCCCATGCTGTGCCATGGAGGTTGATGGAACACCCTCAGGGAGAGGTTTGCAAATCAGTGTCCTTTTGAAAAACTCCCAGCGATACTCAAGCAAACACACTGTCCTTGAGCTTGTGGCCAAATATTGGGAATGAGAATTTATACGTGCTGTTATGTAACAGACTGTTGTATTAGATGTAATTAAACTTGACACTGATGAGATGAGGCAAGCTGCTTAGTGCAAGTATAATGAAGAAGATTTTGAGAAAACCGGTGCCTTTTCCTCAAAGCCAGGGCAAGTGCCACTGTCTACCGTGTTTCCAGAGCTCAGCTTCCACTACTGGCTCAGCCTCAGCCTCTGAAGGTTTCATATTCATTTCCTCTCTATCTCGGTCTCTCACACATGCACATTCTCATCATGTCTCCTGAATCTCAGTCACTTTGTAACACTGTGGTTAGATTCACACTGGCTTTTAGGGTGGTGGGGTGCAGAACTTGGCAGCATAATCTGCCATTTGCATGGCTGTGGAGGTGATCCGACCTAGCCAGGAGCAGTATAGGAGAGGAAACTCCCCCCCCCGCCCTCCAAGAAGCAATATGTTACAGATCACAGTACAAGATTCACAGAGCAGAAGCACAGATTACTGTTCTATGGGACTATTGTTCCTTTCTCTCCTCCAGTCTCTTATATTACTGTAGAATCATGATGAAGGGAAGGTCTGACTATCCATTGCATGCACGATTACTGGGCAAAACAAATTATACCAATTAGTGAGTGTTTGATTGTTTTAATTGGCCAGTAAATCTCTTTAAGCCCTACTCCTCCTCTTTCCTTTGCTACCTTGCACAACAAATGAGGTCTCCTGATTTGTACAGATATCTTCATGAAATGGGCAAAATAGAGCAATAAGTCTTGGTTTGGGAGGAGGCTGGATTGTGCTATGATAGGATGTTTGTGTTATGCTCTCTCAGGCACATATGTTGTTTCATTTCCATATTCTGGTATGGACGATTGGACAATCACTATTCAGTGCACTAAGCAGCAGATGTTTACATAAAGTTGATGATGGTATCATGATTTCTCATTAATAATTGCAGTGCCTGTAATCCCTCCAGCTGGGCTAATTTATCTGCTAGGATTCGGTGTTTCCTATCCCCATACCTAGGGAGTAAGGGAGCTTATAAGAGAATTGAAGCAAGAATGTTAATTCAGCTGTTATAATATGAAATAGTGTCCTAATCCAAGCAGGAGATTCTGGTTAAGTACGGGGGGCCTTTTCTGTTGTTAGCAAACTCTGCCCCTATTAAGCATCAGTAGCCAAATGTTCTTTAGGTAAGTAAATGCAGGGGTGGGAGCTGGACAGTTGGCTGCTCACTGATGTTCCCTGCCCACCCCTTTCCTTTGTGAACAGAAAATGTGTGCCCTTCCAAGATTGGGAGAAGTAAAGCAGACAGTCTTTTAGGATTCCCCCCCCCAAAAAAAAAATCCCAGAAAAGAAAAATCAAGTTAATGCAGTGCTAGTACATTGCTGAAGAGGAGAAGAAGTAGCCTTTAAGAAGCAATACAGTACATTTTTTCACTGGCGAACCCTGGGAAGCACTTGGCCTTTAAAAAATTTGAGCAGAGGGCGGGAATCAAGCTTTTCCCAGTTTTTCCCCTTTGGTTAAAGGCCATCAAGCGTCATGAGTATAGAGGGCAGGGTGAGGCATTGCCACATGTTATCTAAAGGGGTGATAAGTAGCCTCCAAATTAAGGTTAGTGACATATGGGCAATAGCATGCTTTGGCAGGCTCCCAATTCCAATAAGTGCTCTACCTGGGAAGGAAACACATCCCACCTCTGAGTTTCCTGGTTACAAAAATATTATGGTTAAAACCACTGGTTCTTAACCTTGGGTTACTTAAGTGCTCTACCTGGGCTCTGAGTTTCCTGGTAACAAAAATATTATGGTTAAAACTACTGTAGAAAATAATGAAATCTCACTTGGACCCTAAATGAGCAACTGTCTATTTACTGCACTGTAACTTGACCACGTAGAAAGATCATAAGAGAGTTGAAGGAGCTCAGTGACCCCAGCAAAAACTACTGTAGAAAATAGTGAAATCTCACTCGGACCCTAAATGAGCAACTGTCTTGTTTACTGCACTGTAACTTGACCACCTAGAAAGATCATAAGAGAGTTGAAGGAGCTCCGTGACCCCAGCATATTGAAGATAGTTTAAAGCACTGGTTCTTAACCTTGGGTTACTCAGGAGTTTTGGACTGCAACTCCCAGAAGCCTTCACCACCAGCTGTCCTGACTGGGGTTTCTGGGAGTTGCAGTTCAAAAGCATCCGAGTAACAAAGGTTAAGAACCACTGGTTTAAAGAATACTCCATTTGAATCAATCAATCAATCAATCAATCAATCAATCAATCAATCAATCAATCAATCAATCAATCAATCAATCCCCATTCAGTACTGACCTTTGTTTAAGCCATCAGCTAGAGCAAGAATTTTTCTGCCGAGCATCCTCTCTGAGGTACATGAGAAATTGGAGCTGGTTTATGTCCTGAGACAGGACAACCAGCTTTGATCACTGTGGGGAGAGTGGTAGGTACAGGCCAAATCCTTTGTGCTGCCATCTGATGGCCTATGGTGCTTCTGCCTTTTCTTTTGCAGATGGTGAACGGCTGGGCGAGGTGACAGATCCTGGAAGACGAGTGGCTGGGGCCCATGCATCCTCTCCTCAGAGAAAGGCAGAGGACTCCAGCGAGAGTCGGGAGGATGAGCAGATGGTAAATCCCACTTGTTTTTCTTTTTCTTGTTTATTGGAAAATAAGCTTTTTAACCCATATCTGTTTGTGGGCAAAGATACGTGCTCCATATCTCAGTGAACACACTTCATTCTTGCAGAATGGTGTAGTAATTCTTCTTAGTTCCAATATTTCAGGGTTAAGAGAGTCCTGTATTGAGTTTCTTTGAGAGCTGGCCATACTATGTTAAGATACCTTTACCACAGCAGGCAGAATCATCTTGGGGACGCTTATGTCAACAGCACATGGTATGTTGACTGTATCAAGATGAGTATTAAGCCAAATTTCGTCTGGCTTTGGTAGTCAGCTCAAACTTTCCAGATGAGTAACCTTATGGAAATTTGGGGCTGGCTGTTAGGTCTAGCCAAAGTTTGGGAAATGTGAATATACACCAAGACCAGTGTTTGGAAATCGTTTTAATATGTTAACATTAAATTTCACACTTTTAGGCAAATGTAAAAAAAAATCCTTGAGATCTAATGTTTAAAAATAATGGCATGGAAAATAATATTAACAGGAGTTTCACTCATCTAAACATTAGTCACATGTCCATTTGTGGAGAGGACTATGTTAGCCCACATTATCTCTTCCTAAAACAAAAAAAAATCTATAATCTTTTTAGTTGATTTGTACTAGATAGCTCAAGTATACAAATTTACTTTGTATACTTGAGTATACAGATATCCAGAAATCTTGATTAATACAGTTAGAGACTTATGGGATTAATGATAGATTTAAACATTTTTCACTCACTTTAAATCATAGGACCTCAGAGCTGGTTACAAAACTATATAAAATAATTTTAAAATATGAAAGATTTAATACAATTTACAATCAAACCACAGAAAATATATAAGAGATTGAATACAATTTACAATCAAACCACAGAAAATTAAAGCACATAAACATTAAAAATATAGCATTAAAACCCATGCAAGCCATGACCCCTCAACCCCTAGAAGTACTAATAAATATGTCTTGACAGTGCTGACATGATGTCAATGCCAATCAAGTCTCCAAAGGAAAGGCATTCTATAGTTGGAGTGCTGCAGCAGAAAAAGCCTTCCCCCATGTCTCCCCAGAACAAACTGTTCTCAATGGTAGGAGACAGAGAAGGGCCTCCTTAGCAGATCTTAGTGATCAGACAAGTTTATTGTAGGAAAATGCACTCCTGCACATTTCTAGGTTCCAAATCATTTAGGGCTTTTTAAGTCACCATCAACACCTTGAATTCAGACCGGAAGCATATTGGCAGCCAGTATAGATCCTTCAGACCTGTTGTCTAGCTCAATGGTCCCCAACCTTGGGCCTCCAGATGTTCTTGGACTTCAGCTCCCAGAAATCCTGGCCTGTAGAGGTGGTGGTGAAGGCTTCTGGGAGTTGTACTCCAAGAACATCTGGAGGCGCAAGGTTGGGGACCACTGGTCTAGCTACTGCATACTGTATCTGCTGCAGAATCCATGTCATCTTTAAGGGTAGCCCCATGTCAAGTGCACTGTAGTAGTCTAACCAGGAAGTTACCAGGACATGAACTACAGTGGCCAGGTGACCAGTCAAAGCAGATCCCAGGCACTCTGAGCAGTGGAGCTCACATGAGCCTCGAGTGAGAAAGATGAATCTAGGAATACCCCCAAACAGTCCAAGGTCAAATTTTGGAACCATTGCGCTATAATAGTCCAAGACTACCAGGAAGGTCAAATTTTGGAACCATTGCGCTATAAAAAGCCAAGTATCCATTCTTGGTACATTTCGCTAATATTGTACTATAAAAAGGTATATCATAAAATATAGATTTTATGAAAAAGTGCCTTGTGATTTCTTAGCCTGCATGAACACAGACAGCTACTGAAGCCATAGTGGTAGTCATTCTTTTTGCACCCAGAACATGTCAACAGCACTACCCCAAAAATGATGTTTGTATGGGGGAGGAATGCCAGTTCCAGTCCATAAACAAACTTTAAAAAATAATTCTAATACAGAAAAATCACAAAACAGACATGGTGCAAGTTGAATTTGGGCACACATTCATTTGCATGGCCCTTCCTCTAAAGGTCTCTGTACACAGGAGTGGCCCAACTTACCGCTGAAGGGCTGGTTGAGCTGCCTGTCCTTTGACTGCCCACAAATTTTGCTGTTTGAATGAAAGACAACATGAAATGGTATACTAATGAATAGTTACCATCTATGGAGAGTCCATTGAACTAATTTTCCATGCCAGTTTAACATGTTAATTATGATTTGAAATTTCAACACTGAGTTAATTTCCCAGTTTTTGATGTTTTTACTTAATTAACTCCAATTTGTTTTTAATTCCAACATCCCAAGCTCTGATCTAGATATTATGAACATACATTGGATAGCTCAGTGATTTAAATATCTGGTTGCAGAGCCATGGGTTGGGAGTTTGAGTCCCCGGTGTGCTTCCCTGACAGGGGTTGGACTAAATGATCCATAGAGTCCCTTCTAGCTCTGGCAGCTCTAAGATGATGATGATTATGATGATGATTGCGGTAGCTATTGCAATTAAACAACTGCGACTATTGTGGCACCTTGAAGTCTTGTAAAATGAAATATACTGTGGTGTTAGCTTTTGTAGACTACATTTCATTACTTCAGAATACATGAAGTGTTGTCCTGACATTCAAGTGACTATAAACTTGGATTGGAGAGCAGGGGGAGAGGAGTGGAACAATGAGATCTCCCAGAAATTAAATGCAAAACCTATAGGGAGAGATGCTCTTATTAACTATGGTTAATCACACAACAATTGAACTTGTAGGATTGAACCTCATGCTAAAGTGTAACTCAGCAGCTTTTTGATCTAGTTTATTTTTGAAGTTCCTCTGTCAGAGTATGGTCACTTCAGATCCAATAACTGAGTATCTTGAGGGGTTGAAATGTACCCTCACAGTTTTTATTTTTAATATTGTCATATTTGGACTTGTGGACTTGCTACTTCCTTTAGAGGAAAGAGCCAAGATCTGCCTCCGATATCCCCCCGATCTTCTCTAAAGTTCTGAGCAACTCTGTGGATGACCCCTTATCCAAAATCAGTTAGAACCAGCCTTCCCAGCATAATGTCCACCAAATGTACCCTGATTCCAGTAGTAAAGAGCCATAGGAGTTGCAGCCCCAAACCCCTGGAAAGCATTAAGGTGGAAGAAGTTTCACCACTGGCTGTGCTAGCTAAGGGGGATAATATGTGTCATCCAGTATCATCAGACGTTGTTCATTGTTGACTTAGAAAGTTGCTTCACTTGGTTGCACATAGCTCTGCACACTCAAACAGGGTTAGAATCAGTACACAAACCACCACAGAAGTGCTTGTCTTGCCCTCCCCACCCCTTGCCCGTTCTGCATCTTTTACGAGGTTCAGTGATTTCTCTTTTTTTCCTCCTCTTCCCTTCCTCCAAGTGGGGCTATGTTTCCTCCAAGCAATATCACCACTCAAAGCCAGCCACTTAAGTAGGGCTGTTGGGGAAAGGTCAAGAGCAGGGTCCGGTTGAAGAAGGTGAGGACAGGCTGGTTCCTGGGGTGAATGTCCTTGGCATTTAACAAAAAAGAGAGAAATGAGAAGATGGGTGATACCAATGAATGGTGATGTGGAAGGGTGATCAGCAAGAGGGCCTTTGGCACATGCACCTTGGGAAAAGTGGTGGTGAATCTAAAATGACCCTGTTGTACTGCAGCATGAGACATAATTTTTTTTTGTTTGTTTGTTTGTTTGGCTGCAGGGGATAGCCCTTTCAGCAGTGAGTCATTGGGTCCGGCATCTCTTTGTTAGGATAAGAGCAATTAGCAATGCTTCTACCCACTGAAGAGACAGAAGAAGGCTATGATGCTGCTTACTAAGGAATCCATGTAGATTTATGTACACTAGATTCAGCCTTTGGGTTCTTTTCCCCCCGGGGAGACAGAGGATGGTAAATAGGGAGGCATACAAAACAACCTGATTTGGAAAGGAAACTTCTTATGTCACTGCCTGCCAGTGATGTTTCTCTCACAATGATAATGGTGATTATATGCAGTATTAGCACCATCAGGAGGGAGGGGGAAATATTGGCAAGGTTGGACTAGAAATAATGCAAGAACAATCATCATAGACTGAAGGGGGAGCGTGGTATGTTACCCATCCACGTAGATACCCAAATGCTAATTGAGTTCTGTGCAGGAATAATAACTCTTAACATATAACAAGATGCTGATTATGCATCCTCAGAGACTAGGGAAGAGCAGGATTTAAAGGTAATGTATGTGTTTGCGTGGAGGCAAGCCCATTTTGCTTTGCCAGCCAGCCTCTTTCTGTAAAGATCAGCATTGAGACAAAGGAACAGCTGCCACAATCTCAATTAGCAAATCCAGCCACAATTGTTGCTGTTGTCATCCCTAATTTTGGGCCAGAGTCCTCCGGCTGAAGTCTTGTACAGTGCTTTTTAAAAAAACGCATCTCCTTCAATATTCTGAGTTTCTCTTTTGACATGGCCCTACCTATTATGCACATAACACCTCTCTTGTGTTTCATCAAATGGGGTAAGCTGAGGCCAGACCTGTAAACACATAAAAACACTGCTCGTAGACTAACCTTTTATTTGTGCAGTTGCCCTTCCTCAAACACATGAAATGTAAGGAATTCAGTAAACACCTTATTTTGTTAAAAAGAAAAAGATGTAATAGTCCATTGAGATAGCAACCAGTGTCATAACCTGCTGTATAATTCTGCCAGAGTGCTGGACTAACAGATCTAGGCTACCAGAATGTCTTTTGATTGATAGCATTAGGATCTATCTGCCTAGCTAAATTGGTCACACAGCTGCAAATAGGAATGAACATTCTTGAAAGTTGGTCACTAGATAGTAATTTTTCATTTGTGTAATTCTAGTTCCCTGAGTAGCAGTAATAATTTCCTCCAGTAAGAGAGGCTCTCACTAGTTCCTTAGAAGTGACATCAAATGTTGGTTAATTGTTTGGAATTAATTCTAGCG